ACATCGTGCACCAGAGTGGTGCATTTGTTATAATTAGTAAATCTACACGACACATCATAATCTCTCAAGTCTATAGTTTCATTAGGGTTCACTCTTGGTGTTGTACATTCTGTGGGTTTGGACAAAAATATGATGACACGTATCCATCACGGTGGTATCATATCAACTATTTTTACTGCCCTAAAAATCCTCTGTGCTCTGCCTGTTCATTCTTCCCTCCTGCTAGACTTGGTTACATCTCCATAGTTTTGTCTTTTCCTGAATGTCACATGGTTGGAATCACACCTTACATGGCCTCTTCGGTTTGGCTTCTTTCGGTGAGTAATATGTGCTTAAGGTTCTTCCATGTCTTTCATGGCTCGATCTTTTCTTTTTAGCACCGAATAATAATAATAATAATAATAATAATAATAATAATATTCCATTGTCTGGACGCACCACAGTTTACTTTTCCATTTACTTACTGAAGTTGATGATCTCGGTTGCTTCTAAGTTTTGACAATTATGAATAAAACTGCTATCATGTAGGTTTTTGTGTAGATGTGAGTTTTCACCTCCTTTGGGTAAATACTAAACAGTCTGATCAATGGATTGTATGGTAAGAGTAGGTTTGATTTTGTAAGATAGTGCCACGCTGTATTCCAAAGGGATTGTACCGTTTTGCATTCTCACCAGCAATGGATGAGAGTTCCTGTTGCTCCTCATCCTCTCCAGTGTTTGGTGTTGTCTGTGTTCTGATTTCAGCCGTTCTAATAAAAGGTAGTTGTATCTCATTGTTTTATATGCATTTCCCTAATGACATATGACGTGGAGCATCTTTTCATAGGCTCTTATTTTTTTATTGGTAACATATACGTTACATAAAATTTACCATGTTAACCATTTTTCCGTGGCAGTTCGGTGGCATTAAATATATTAACACTGTTGCGCAGCCATCGCCACCATCCATCTCCAGAACTCTTTCATTTTCCCCAGCTGAAACTCTATGCCCATTAAATAATGACTCCCATTTGCAGCTCCTCCCCAACTCCTGGCAACTGCTATTCTACTTTCCGTATCTATAGATTGGACTACTCGAGGAACCTCATGGAAGTGGCTCAGAGAGCGCTTGTCTTGCTGTTTACTGGCTTTGGGTAATGCCTTTGACAAGGGGCCTTCGTAGATGATACTGGGCACTTCTGGGGCATATCCATCGGGAGGCTCACAGGAATCACAGCTGAGCAGGCCTTGCACAGTCCTGCCTGCTCACCTGCCCATCTCTCCCACGGGGCTGCCCGCTGCTTCTTCACCTACTCTGCCCCAGCTGCCCCACCCTCTCGGCCTGTCAGGGCCTTCTCACTTGCCCTGTCCTCCCTGGCAGACTCCTTAATATCTTCCGGATTCCAGCTTTAATGTCACCCTCTCGTGGCTTTCCTGGCTACCCACAACCACTTCCCTGTAGTCGCTGTCTGTTTTTCTCTGACTCGTTTTCTTCATGGCGCTCATCAGAACCTGACAGGACCCTGTTTGGTATTTGTTGGCCTGTTTACCGTCTTGCTCCAGGGTAAACTCCATGAGAGTAGGGACCCGTTCACTGCTGTATCCCCAGATCCTGACAGTGCAGCTGCACATGGCAGGTGCTTGTATTAGCTTCCTCTTGCTGCTGTAATAAATGACCACAAACTTAGTACCTTAAAAACAACACAAATTTACTACCTTACGGTTCAGGAGGTCAGAAGTCCTAAATCAGTCTCAGTGAGCTAAGATCGAGGTGTCGGGGGCCTGTGCTTCTTCTGGAAGCTCTAGGGAAGAATCCGTGTCCTGTCTTTTCCAGCTTCTAGAGGCTGCCTGCATTCCTGGGCTCACTGTCTCTCACCACTTGGACTTCTGCTTCTGTCACCCCATCTTCTGTCTGAGCCTGACCCACTGCTCTCCTCTTAGAATGACCCTGTGACTACATCGGGCCCATCCAGATAAGCCAGGGAACTCCCTGTTTTAACTTAACTTAAACACAAAGTCTGCAAAGTACTTTTTAAATGTAAGGTCGCATATTCACAGGTGTCAAGAATTAAGACGTGAATGTTTTTGGGGGGGCATTATTATGCTTACTAAAGGATTCCGTAACTATTCGTTGGATGAATAATAAATGAATGGATGGGTTTCTTTACAAAGGGAGTGTCGAGTCCTGAGTTGCAGGCCTGGCTCAGCCACTCCCTGGCTGTGAGACCTTGGGCGAGTCCTCTCTTCCTCTGAGCTTTGGTTTTCTCTTCATTAGATATGTTTTGAGCACCCACCATGTACCCCACCCTTGGTAGATGCTGGGAATTCCAAGATGAATAAAAAGAGACTCCCGCCTTCCCAGAGCTTGGGGTTGGCTTTTGAGGAGGGGCCTGAGAAAGGGAACCCCTGACATAGTTTGCTCATGTCCACATTGTAGGTCACCCCAGAGAATTTCAAAATCCAGAGGTGACATTTCAAATGGCTCTTGACACATGAGTAAGAGTTTGTGCGGTAGAGAAGTATAAAGGGCTTCGAAGCTGGGGACAGGCCACAGGCTGTTACGAGGAACTGTGAGGAGCACGGTCGGAGACCAGGGAGGTAGGGGAACATGTCTGGAAAGGGGATCTTGAAGGCCGTGATCAGCAGCTTGGGTTCTGCCCTCAGGTCACGGGGCCACAGCAGGGTTTCGAAGCAGGAGGGAGACATGTGCAGGTCTGAATCAGTGCTGCTCACTCCGGTCACTGCCACGTAGAGAGGGGACCGAGGGGCCAGCGTCCGCGCCTGAGATGGAGCAGGGACAGTGCTGGCGGAGACGAGAGGACAGATCCGAGAGAGGTTTAGGAAGTCGATTTCTTGGGACGTGGCGATAGGTCGAGAAGGTGCGGGGTGAGGAAGCAGCTGGGAAGGAAGAATAAGCAGGATGAGAACGCGTGCAGAAGATTTCTGCATCTGCCGAGGGGCTCATGAGCCGGCCCGAGCCGGGGTCTGCGAGAAGCCCTGGGTGGGGCTGGTGACGGGACAGAGAGACCACCCAGTGGATTCATACTTCTCCCCTCGAACAGAGCTCGGTCATGACCTCCAAGGGTATGAGATGGGCCTCAGTTCCAGGTGAGGGTTTGAGGCTGTTTAGCTCCTGTCCACATTCTCACTTGGTTTACAAACACGAAGGCAAAAAGGTCAGGCTGTGAAAGCACCTTCCTCATTTCCAGAGACATACGGTGATATGACCGCAGCCACACGTACCTGGACTCTGGGGAGTGCAGCCTCCAAGAGGCCCAGCTCGAGGGGGATTTTGCGAGACCCAGAGGGGAGGAGTGTGGGGGTCCCCTCTGATGGTTCATCACCACATAGAATTTCCTCCTATTAGGAGGAAGCGGGAGTTCTTCTTTCATAATGCGAATGTGAGATTCCGGGCTCACCGGTGACTAAAAGTGTCTGAGGCTTGTGGGTGTTATCGAACACTTAAATATCAGACCTTCTTTTCCAATGAGTGTAGGTACCTAGGCTGGAACGCAAAGCAGCATGGCTAGCCTGCAGGTCCCGCTCCTGGCTGCCCTCATCCTCCTTGCTGTGGCACCTCAAACCACTGAGGCAGGTGAGCTGGGAAGAGGGAGGGCTCCCTGCAGAAGCCAGGTATTTTCCTCACGTACTAGAAGGAACATGCTAGAAGAACTGAGAGCAGATACCCAGTCTGCTGCTGGCTCTTGAGCTGGTCTCATTGCTTCTCTGGGCCTCAGTTTGCATATCTGTGAAATGGGTCATCTTGAAGGCCTGGAGCCTAGGATCTGTCTCAGCTGGGCTGGGGTCATGGTGGGCATGGCCCAAGCTCCTCTATTTTGGGGAACTGGAACATAGGGCCCTTCCTAGTGGGAGAAGGCTGGAGCTAGGGTGAAGGGTATTCCCTTGGAAAGGGGGTCCTGCCTCCCACTACCCCGCTTTTGCTCAACGCTGGGGTCCTAACTTTTCTTCTCTGTCCCTATGTAAAGTCTCCTCCTCTGTGTTGGGTAAGGGAAGGAGCACTGGACTGGGAGTTTCTGAGCACTTTCCTTTCATTGAAGTTTCCGTAGAGTAGATATTATTATTATTCCCTTGGTCAGAGGAGGAAATTGGGCCTCCGAGATGTTAAATGACTTGCCTAAGGTGGCCCGGCAACTCAGGGCAGAACGGAACTAGAACCCAGGTCTGTGCGACTGGACTCTGCTCGAGCCCTTGTCCTGACTCTCCAGAGTCGCACTGTGTGACTGGCCAAGTCCTTCCCCTCTCTGGACCTCAGCCTCACCATTTGCTCCATGAAGCGGGTGAAAGCGGATGTGAGTTGAAGCAGACTCCTGGGGATCTCATCAAGATGCCCATCCGTTCCAGCAGTGCCAGGGCCAGGCACTGAGCATTTGTGACAAGCTCCTAGGTGATGCCGATGATGCTGGTCCATGGATCTCACCTTGAAGAACAAGGTTCTAAGGCTCCTTCCCATCCAGAGTCTCTGGGTCCCAACTAGAGTTTCAGGGCATCGTGGGTGCTCGGTCCATTCTGAATCCCTCTCCTCTGAGCTGAGTGACTTGAAGTGTAGACATTGGGTCCTCAGCGGCTTCTCAAGAGCCCTGAGAGTGGGGACTTTGAGGACTCCAAATCGTCTGGATACCAACCTTCCATGTGAAGACAGAAAAGCGGGGTCAGAGGTTGGGGCCGAGGGAGACTCTGCCTAGCCTGTGACTCCTCCGAGCACCCTCTCCCCCAGGCCCCTACGGAGCCAACGTGGAGGACAGCGTCTGCTGCCGGGATTACATCCGTTACCCGCTGCCCTGGCGTGTGGTGAAATATTACTACTGGACTTCGAACTCTTGCCGGAGGCCTGGCATAGTGTAAGTCGGGCACCGGGAGAGTCCGATGGGTGTGGCCCAGAAGGGCCCAGGTGCAGATGGGTCGGGGAACCCAGGGGTGGAAGGAATGCAGCTGGGCTTCCGGATCCCAGTGGGAGCACTTGGCTGGAATAGGCTTGGATGTACTGAGAAAAAAGTCATGTGAACATTCAAGAGATATTACCAGGTGTCTACCATGGGCCAAGTCGCGTGCCAGGTTCTGAAGATGCAGAGCTGAAGGAACAGGGTGCCTCCCACACAGGTGGTGGTGTAGGCAGGACCGAGCCACAGAGACGGGGTACAGGGTATAGGCAGTATGCCCAGTGCCACTAAGTCAGCGAGGATGCTCCCACTGGAGATGTCTTGGCCTCCCCGAGGCAGCTGTTCCAGACAGAGACATTCTTCGAATATTAAGAGCCAGCACTTACGGAAGTTTGCTCTGGGCCAGGCACCGTTCTGAGTGTTGCCGTGTGGACTCATTAACGCTCCTAACAATCCTACGAGGAGGTACAATCGTTTCCATTTTGTAGATAGAAAAACTGTCTCAGGGAGGGGAGGTGACTTGCTCGAGGTGGCAGGCTGGAACCAGGACTCCTGGGTCCTTGCTCAGGGCTCTCTCCTTTGCTTCCTTTTCCCTGACCCGGAGTCTGTGCCTATGCCTGGCCCTGGCTGGGTGACTGGGCCTGTTCTTTTTGGGGCAACCCCTCGGACGGCTGCTCTGGCTCCTCAGAGACTGCTGCCAAACTACACACTGGGGGTGAGTGGGTTGGGCTTGGGACCTCATGACCCCCTTTGGGGCTCCTCATCTTGTTCGCATGTTCCACCTCCTCCCTCTTCCTCACCCCTTAGAGGGGTCTGCAGGTGAATAACAAAGCAGTCTGAAGCGGAAGCCCTCACAGGTTCTTGTCACTTCGACCTTGAGCCTCAGTTTCCCCATCGGTATAACGGGAGTGATCACCTTCATTTATTTATTTTTAACTTATTTTTAAAGTAAATTTATGGGGGCGACATTGGTTAATAAAATTATATAGGTTTTAAGTATACCATTCTATAATCCGTCTTCTGTATATTACATTGTGTGTTGACCACCCAAAGTCAAATCTCCTTCTGTCACTCGACATTTGACCCCATTTACCCTTATCTACCTTCCCTCCCTCCCCGCTTTCCCTCTGGTCACTATTAAACCGTCGTCTGTGTCTATGAGTTTTTGTTTGTTTGTCTTGTTCATTTGTTGCTTTCAGTTTGATATCTCACATATGCGTGAAATCGTATGGTTCTCAACTTCTTCTGTCTGACTTCATTCCCTTAGCATGATTATCTCAAGACCCATCCACAAACAGCAGTGTTGCATCTTTTGTGATGGTCGAGTAATATTCCATTGCATACACGTACCACGTCTTCTTTACCCAAACATCTGTCAAAGGGCACTAGTCGTTTCCATGTCTTGGCCACTGTGAATGCTGCAGCGAGCTTTGGGGCGCATATATCTTTACAGATAAGTGTTTTCAAGTGTTTGGAGTAGATACCCAGAGGAGGGATCACTGGGTCGAATGATAATTCTATTCTTAATTTTCTGAGAACTCTCCTTACTGTTTTCCATAGTGGCTGTACCGATTTACATTCCCACCAGCAGTGTGTGAGGGTTTTTTCCCCACGCCCGCAACCTCTCCAATACTTGTTGTTACTTGTCTTGTTAATAATAGCCATTTTTACAGATGGGAGGTGTCATTTCATTGTGGTTTTGATTCACATTTCCCTAATAGCTAGTGATTTATTTTTCTGTAGCAAACATGAAGAGAGTGCTTGCTAGTACTAGGCACTGTTATAAACACTTCATAGTTCCAATTTTAGTATATGTGCTGCCAAAGTGACACTTGATAAATATTAACTCATTTGATCCTCGAAACAACCCTAAGTAGTTGGTGCTGTTACAGTCCACTTCTTACAGGTGGAGAAATTACACAGAGAGGTTATGGGGCCTCTGGAGCATCACTGGGCACAGCAAGTGGAAGGTGTCATGCTCAATGCCTGGCATATAATAGGTGCTTAATAAAAGACAGCACAGTATGATTATTGGATTTTGAGCCAGAAGGGACTCTAGAAAGAATACGGCTTGACAAATGGGGAGACTGAGGCTCGGAGAGGGGCCGGGTCTTGCCCAGCGTCACACAGGGTCAGGGCAGGCTGCCCACGTGGCCAACACCAACACTGCCGCGTTTTTTGTTCCTTCTGTCATTGGCCGTCTGTGGGGTGGGGGCAGGTCTGGGAAGTAAGGGGAACCAGGAGCTCCGAGGCCCCAAAGACAGGCTCTTGAGAGGCAGGAAAGGAGTCTGGGACTATGGGATGTCCTGCCAACAATGGCTGGGACAGAGGGCCCCAAGGACCTGGCCCGGTGTTCACAGCAGCTTGGACAAGGGTGGGAGCCTTAGCCCACAACTGCTGTGTGACCTTGGGCCAGTGCTCATCTCTCTGTGCTTCAGACCTCTCAGAGAGGCCTGGATGGGGACACTCTCCAAAGACACTGGCCCCTAATAGCCCAGTTCACACTGAGCATGGAGAGTCAGATCTGACCAGCTCTGGCATTCAGGCAAGTTTCTTTACCTCTTCGGGCCTCACTTTCCTCAGCTATAAAATGGATAGAATAATAGGACTTCACAGAGTCAGTATAAGGACTTACTAAGAAAATCAATGTTAAGAGGTCTGGCCAGCTCCTTGCACGATTATATAGCACCTAATATCTCCTGTGTACTGTTCTGAGCACTTCAGTTTATATTAACTTATCAAACCTCATCAAAATCCTGTGAAGTTGGACCACGATCATCATCCCCATTTTACAGAACTGGGGCTCAGAGAAGTTAAGATCTTGCTAACAAATGGCATAGCTAGGATTTTAACCCAGATAAGCTGGCTCCAAAGTTCATAGTCTTGGCCACTACCCCATACTGTCTCTCCCAAGGCAGTGTCAGCAATAAATATGGAACTCTGGGGCATTCTATTCATTGGTTTGACCTGGCACTCGAGGCCTGGGCTGAGGGGCTGAGGGCCGGAAGCCCTGCTATTCATCTCCCCCTTTCTCCCTTAAGAAATGTGTTTGCATAGAGCAGGTGGCTCATAAATGCTAAGCCATTCTACATAGCAGGCATCTCTGCATACAGTAGGTGCCTCATAAATGCCAAGCTTTCTGGGTGAGATGTGACGTTCTGGCTGCATGTTAATGCTTCCTCCCTGTCTGCCCGATGTCTTCTCCTTCCAGCTTGCTAACCGGTAGAGGCCGGAAGATCTGCGCTGACCCCCAAATCCCCTGGGTGAAGAAGATTCTCCAGAAGCTGGACAAGTGAGGAAGCATCCTGCCCTGATGCCTGCAGCCTTGGCTCCTCCAGGAAGGCTCACAAAGACTTACCCCTCTGCCATACAGCTGCTCCCCAACACAAGCCCGCAATCCCTGCTCTGCATCCCTGTCACCCTCCACACAGTCACTCTCATCTTCCCTCTTGCCCCTCCAACCCATCCTCTGCCCCATTGTACCCAGAGGGCCCACAATCCTGGTCAGTCACTCCCTTGCTCAAAACCCTTCTATGATTCTCCATTGGCCTAGGCTGAGGTCTGAGCTCCTGAGCCTGGAACCCCTGCCCCCCAGATCCGGGGCCCAATCCCTGTCTCCAGCCCTGGCTCATTTTCCTTCTTGCATGTTGGACTCCAGCTCACTGTTCTCCTAAACCATGCCATATATTTCCATTGCTGGGTCTTTACCTGGGCTGCTCCTGATACCTAGAATGTCTCCCCATCACCTGCGTATGCTCAATGCCACCAGCCCTCCAAGGCATTGCTCAGTGTAAGCAGTCAGGAATTGAGTTTCGTTTTTTTAGACTTCCCCTAGCCTTCTGTCCCCTATTAATAGCTCTGATCACAGTCTGCTCAGAATTCTCGAGACTTGAGGGCTTGTCCTCCAGCCTCTCTGGCAGGACCAAGGTCTGTACCTGAGTTACTTTTGTCTTCTGGCCTCCAATACAGAGCACAGAGCCTGGCTCGGAATCAAGGCTCGGCAAGTAGCTGCAGACAGAATCTATAAAAGGAGTGTTCCTCTCCCACCTCCTAAAGGCCCCCACACATCAATACAGACACTCAGGTCATCTAGAGAGAAGCCAGCTGCGTCAATTTTGCCTCAAATTGTGAGCCTCAAATTTGCCCAGATTCACCTTTCTTCCCCTTTTTACCTATATATCGAGTCTCTTTACCCTTCTTGCTTCCCTTTGGTTTTACTATTCATCTCACTTCCAACCCCTGACATCTCCAGAGTCCCCCACTTTCCCTTCCCTCTTCTCCAAATAGCTGATGACCAAATTCATGCTATGGTGTGAATGACTACCCTTCGCTTGGTAGTAGAACCTCTAATTACATTTGTATACGAAAAGAGGGCAAATGCTTGAGAGGCCATGTGGATGAATGGAAGAATTTTAGAAACTGTGTAGGAGTGGGACAAGACGGTGCTGCTCTGGCCCTGGGAGTGTGTGAGGGATACTGTTAGGTGAAAGAGCCTTGGGTGGACGTTGTTCTTGGGTGGCTGAAGCCAAGCTAGGAATTGGGATTTGAGACTTATCCTCCCCTCTTTGGTGACAATAGTTTCCCCGGGTAAAGGAAATAAGCTCGTTCCTTTCTGAGGGAGCCTGGTGCGGCTCAGTGGAGTGCTGATTGCTGTGTGACGCTGAGGAGACCATCCAACCTCTCTGAGCCTCACCTGAGACTGAGAGAAACCACTTTATGGGGTTGCTGCGGGGCTCAGGTCCAAGGCATGGGGGATGACTTTGCTGGACATAAACTCAGTGTCTTCCAGGGTCATCCACCCTCCAGGGACACCGGAAGTGTTCACCTGCCTGCTGCCTACACACAGAGCCCTCAAATGTCCCGGGATCCCCTCCCTCTCCTGTCTTGCCTTTGCTTCTCAGGCCTTCTAGAAAATAAATTTTATGCAACGGTGTTTGCTTTGTTCCTTACCATTTGTTGTCCCTGTGGGGTAAGGCAGGGGACACCACATCCCCTCTCTCCCAGTGAGGAAGCCCCTGACATGGACATGTGAGCCACTTTGCTCAAGGTCGCCCTGTGAAGAGGTGGGGAGCCAGGACTAGACATGAGGACCTGGGGAGTAGCTCCCATCTAGGTGCCAACAGGGAAGCCCAAACATTTGTCCACCAGGCCTGGCCCACTCTAGGACCATCAGTCAGGAGGAGCTGATGAGAAATCATCTATTCAGTTCCCATGTCTAGAGCTTTAAGCAGATATTCAGTCAGTCAGTCAGTTATCAGTCATTCAATAACTCAACCTCAACCTTCCCTATTCAAGCGTAGATACAAAGGAAGAGGAGAGTATATTAGCCAGGAAGGCTACTTTCTGCAACAAACTCCAAAATCTCGGCGGCTCAATTCCATGGAAGTTTTTTTCTTCTCACATGAAATCTGATCGGGCATTCCCGGTCTGTGGAATACCTTCCACACAGTCATTCGGACACCTGGGCCCATTCCTTCTCCTTTAGGGACTGGGCTCCTCTCCATCGTCCAGCAGATGGGGAAGGAGAACAAAGGTTTGTGGGAGGGCTTTTTGAGCCAGACCCAGAAGCGGGCTTATCACTTCTGCCCACATGCCATTGGCAGAACTCAGTCCCATGGCCACCCTGATTGCAAAGGATGCTGGAAAGTTCAGCTAAGTTGTGTGTCCAGGAGGAAAAGGGAGTCAGGTTTGGGAGGACTGAATTCATCTGGTGCTGAGCTCCCCTGGGCCCTCAGATGGGCCCATTTTCCTGGAGTTCCGGGACACAGCTCCTTCTGCAAAACAATAACAGAAAAGGACTCTTCGTCCTTCAGGGTTTCTTCATGATTTACTCAGTGTAAGTACCATTCCTGGACATCGTGGCACAAATGGCCTTTGCTCCCCTGCAGATCTGGCTCTCACAGCGAGATTTCCAGGGTGGTAGCTCCAGACACCCAGACCACTTATCTAGGGGCCAGGGAGAAGCATCAGGAAGGGCCCATGTCATGGATTCAGACATGATGTAGGGACTCTCACTGGCTGGGTGTCTGGAGAAAGTTGCTTTGTCCCTCTGATTCTAGTTCCTACCTCTGTGAACAGGGGGCGTGAAAGCAGACGTCAGGGCACGTGGTTGTGAGAATCCAATGGGATGAGAAGGTTCAGACGGCCCAATAACAAAATGGACAAGGACTTGAACAGATTTTTCTTCGAAGAAGATATTCGAATGGTCGAGAAACACCTGAAAAGATGCTCAACATCGCAAATCATTAGGGAGCTGCAAATGAAATCACGATACTATACAAAAATAAAATAAAGACAAAATCAAGGTTGGGGAGGGTGTGGAGAAATTGGAACCCTTGTCATTTGGTGGTGGGGACATAAAATGGTGCGGTCACCACTGTGTGGAAAACAGCATGGTGGGTCCTGAAAAAATTAAACAGAATTGACATATGGTCCAGTAATCTCACTTCTGGGTATAGACACAAAAGAATTGAAAGCAGGGACTCAAACAGATATTCGTATATCTGTCTTCATTGCAAGATTCTCTATAATAGCCAAAAGGAGGAAACAACCCAAGTGTCCATCAATGGATGAATAAATAAGCAAAATGTGGTCCCTCCACACAATGGAACAGTGTCAGCCGTAAAAAGGAAGGAGATTCTGACACCTGCTACGACACGGATGGACCCTGAAGACATTACGATGAGTGAAATGAGCCAGTCACAAAGGACAAATACCGTATGACTCCTAGAGCCGTCAAACTCGTAGAGACAGAAAGTAGAAAGGTGATTTCCAGGGGTGGGGAGAGGAAGGAATGGGAGTTATAAAATGGGTCCAGAGTTTGTTTTGCAAAAATGAAAAAGTTCTGGACAACAATGGTAGATTTTATGTGATGTGTATAATACAAAGAGGGTTGAGGGTGAGTAAGTGCACAGAGGAAATGCCAAGTGCACGTGGATAGATAGCCCCCCTTATTGGCCAGAAATGTAAACCGAGCAGAGTTGAGTGGGGCAGGGAAAAGCTAGCAAGGCTGTCTCCCAGGGTCCCTGGAGATGGCCACCTCATCGGCCATCTCTTCCCTCTTGTCTTCCTGGGACCCCACCGGAGTGCCCCGGGCTCCCCGTCCTGCTCCCCACAGCTGTTTCTGTTCTGCTTTCAGAGCCAGGGGAAATCCCTCATATTCCACAAGAACAGCGTGGGCTGCCTGCCCTTGAGGGTACCCAGGAAGGTGTGAGCAGGGGTACTCCCACCCTCCCACATCACTGACTCCCGAGGAAACCCTCTTTCCTACTGCCCAGTGCCGCTGCACTTTCTGATCGCGTCTCTACTCCTCGGCTCAGAATCTCCCCAGTCCGCCTTTGGCCCTGAACAGCATCCTCATCCCTCACTCCAGCTTCACAGTGTCCACCTGCAGGCTCTCTGCCCACCTTTTCCTCAGAGCCAATGGCATCAGACCATTCTCCATCCCCTGCCTAAACCCAGTACTTTCCACTTGGGTTAGGTTTTCCCCACTGCCTGGAACAGTCTGTCAAAATCCCACCCCGTCTGCATATTGCGGATTACTGGTGAATCACAAGGGATCAACACATCTCCAGCAAAGCAAAGAAAAAAGTGGTCCATTAATCCTTCAAGAACAGTGAACAACTGTGACAATATGGTTGGACCTAGAGGGTATTATGCTAAGTGAAGTAAATCAGACAGAGCAAGACAAATACCACATGATCTCACTTATATGTGGAATCTAAAGAATAAAACAAACAAACAAACAAAACAGAAACAGATTCAGATACAGAGAAAAACTGATGGTTGCCAGATGGGAGGAGGTTTGGGGTCTGCATGAAAAAGGTGAAGGGAAGTACACATTTGTCGTTACAAAATAGTCACAGAGACGTAAAGTACAACATAGGGAATATAGTCAATAATATTGTAATAACTATGTATCATGCCAGGTGGGTATTAACCTAAAGTGGGGGAGGGGGAATCACTTTGTAAATTACATGAATGTCTAACCACTATGCTGTACACCTGAAACTAATACCACATACTATTGAATGTCAATTCTAATTGAAAATTTAAAAAAAACCAAAACAACCTGTCTGTTGTGGTGTGAAGTACACAGTATTACTCATAATGGATTCTTGCCAAATATACATGTCCGGGACAAAATTGAGCCTGGAAGTCTAACTTCCAGTTTACAGGAAATGCTTAGAATGTGGGGAAAAATTAGGTAACATCACAGGGATGTAATTAGATAAATCAAGAATGAGAACAGTGTGCGAGACGATGGTCTTGACGTTTCAAAAAGCCAATGTCTTGAAAAACATACAGGGTGGGGGCCATCTGTCGAAGACTAAAAAGAAATAACCATCCACAATACAGGAAACTAGATTGGATCCTGGTTCAAAAAATAAAAGAAAGCAAGAAGTGGAGGGAGGGAGGAGAGAAACAAAGAAAGAAAGAAGAAGGAAAAGAAACCATGAAAATACATTTTGGGGACAATTAGAGAAATTTGAATGTTAAGTGACTATTTACATGACATGTAGAAATTATTGTTAATTTCGTTAGGTGGCATAATGGTATTATATTTATGTAAGATAACGTCTTTACTCTGTGAGATGCATGCCAGTATATTTTGGGGCAAAGTAGTAGGCATCCATAATTTACTTTGAAATGGCTTGGCAAAAAAAAAAAAAAGATAAAACAAATATGGAAAAATGCTAATCGTTGAATTTAGGTTGTAGAGATATGAAAGTTCTTTGTACCATTCTTTCTTCTTTATTGTTTAAAAATGTTCAACATGACCATATAAAGCAAACAAAGCAAAACTGCCCATCTTCTGACTGAAACATCCTCCCTCTCATTCCTGCCTTCCTTGGTTCCCAGACAAGAACGGAGGCCTCTCTCCCTCCCCGAGGCCTACAGCCTTAGAGTTTCTGGTAGGACTTGCATTTTCTCTCTCCTCCTGAGCTGGGGCTCCTTGGGGCAAGGACTTTGGCTTATGTGTCCCCCATCTCACCACGGTTCCAGGCACATACCAGAGCTCTGTAACAAACACGAGTGGCTTCTGCGTGCCAGGCACTGTAAAAGTCCTTAGTTTTGTTAACTCCCCCAGTGACTGATTTGGTGTGGTGGCTAATAGCATCCCATTTTACAGATGGGGAAGCTGAGGCTCAGAGAGGTTCAGTCACTTGCCCAAGGCGATGCCCCTCATAAGTGCTAGAGTCACAATTGGCTCCAGGTCTGGCTGACCCGAAGGGCTTGTGACTATGTCTGAATCGAAGCCAAACTCAGTCCTTAGTGCTCTGACGAAGTAGTTGGGGGTGACCATTCCAATTTTATGGGAGGAAAAACTGGGCCAAAAGAGGGCAGGGGATGTCCCCAGGGCTGAACACAGAGGGGGAGTGCTGTTCTCTGTTTTGGCTCCTGTTCCGCGCCAGGCTCTGAACTGGCACCTTCTGGGGCGTAAACTCACTTAATCCTTGCAGTGGAGGGTGGTGGGAGGCGGGGTAGGCTGATGGTCGTGAGCTCAGACCCCAGAGCCAGCCGACTGGGGCAAATCCAGGCTCTCGGACTTCCAGGCTGGTAATCCCCCAAAATTCCTTAACTTCTGCGTGCCTCAGTTTCCCCATCCAAAAAATGGACCGTGACAGTGGTATTTGGCTTACGCCCGGGGTGTGTTGGCATGATGAAGTGATTTAATCATGCACAGTACAAACAGTGGACATTGGCCCATGCTGGGGACGCACTTCCCCATCAAGCAGAGTCCAGCCTCCAAGCTCCACACCCTAGGCAGCCCTATTGTGCTTGGGTGAAGAGGTCCCCTGGCCTTGGGAGCTGTGACCCCTCTGTCCAGCCCAGCCTACACCAGCTGACCCCAGAGCCTGGGACAGTGGCTCCTAGACAAACTGGTGTCCCTCTGGTTAGCAGCCCAAAGATGGCCCTGTGGAGTGTGTTCAGGGTTAACCCCCAGCCCCAGGCTGGCCCGCTTCTGCCACCAAAGTGGCTGCACTGCACCCAACACCTGCAGGCACGTACACAAGTTTGGTGGGAGCTGCTGGCTAGTCACTCCTGGTCCTGTGGTCACCACCTCTAAGGGAGAGAGAACCTGGAAAGGCGGCGTTGTTTCGAAGCGCCCTCTTGGATGGATTAACCCAACTCCTTCATTGCCCAGCTGGAGAACGGAGGCCCCGAGAGAGGCAGGACTCCTCCAGGACACACTGCGGAGTCGAGGAGGCTCTGAGTCACCTGGGGGACGTGGCAGCTGTGTTTTCCACAGGGGGCCAGGGGCGTTGACGGGATTTGGTGCAAAGGAGGCACGGAGAGGTGGGGGGCTGGGGGCTGGGGGCAGGGAGGCAGGGCTCTTTTCTGTGTCTTGAGCTGCTCCTGCTCATGCCTAGTCATCTCGTCTGTGGCAGTTCCCCACCCCTGCGGTGTTTCTGCCCCCTGCCACCCCAGGCCTCAGTTTCCCCATCTGTCCCTATGAAGTTGAGCTGGATTGTTCTTTCAGCCAGCATTTACTGTACTGAACCCGTTTGCCCGGCTCCAGGTTGAACTCGGGAGATGCACTGATGAACGAGGTCCCCGAGGAGCTAGAGCTTTAAGGGGTAAAGGTTGGAAGTCCTTCATGGTGTGGGAGGGATATCCCTAGACCAGATGGGAGCTTGTCACACCCAGACTGGCAGGGCCCTGAGTCCCCTCGGTTTGCTCACAGCCAGCGCTCTCTATTCCTTGGCCCCTCTGTCCTTTGTTTATTGTCCACTGAGGAGCTAGGGCCCCAGGCCAGACCCAAGGTCATATTCCAGCTCCCAGTAAGGAGGTGACAAGGCACACAGGAAGAGAGAAGGCCCTTTGAACCCTAGCAGCCCTGGTCCAGCCCCGCTGGCAGGTCCAGGTTTGAGAAGCGTGGTGAGCAGCCAGCCCAGTACCCCATGCGCCCCGCCAGCCAGCCGAGCCTGGCTCCACGTTCCTTGGCAACATCCTGAGGAATTCAGTAGCTGCCGCTGCGCACTGGCTCCTTTCCTTTCCCCCGCCCACCGCCTGCCTGCAGGGGGGCCGGGAGCGGCAGAGGCAGTGGCAGCAGCTTATTATAAAAACCCAGAGCTCAGGCAGAGGCAGTGGCGAGGGGACAGCACTGAGCTCTCACGCTGGCCCCGGCCGCCTGCCCTGGCCTTACCTGGATCCCCGCCTGGTCCCCACCTGGTCCCCGCCTGGACCCCGTCTGGTCCCCGCCTGGACCCCCGCTCACCCTCAGCCATGGCTCTTCCACCTTTCTCCTGGCTGCTCCGCTTGGCTGCCGTCTGCCATCTGACCATGCTGCTGGCTGGTGAGTGGGGTGGACATGGGCATGAGCAGGGTAGGGAAGCCCCCGGCCTCACTTTTACCCCTCAGGCCTGACATCAGGGCCCCTGCCTGGGAAAGGCTGAGGTCCACGGCAGCCCCCGCCTGAGGGCTGTGCCGGGGAGGGATGCGGGGCTGCCCCTCCTGCAGAAAAGATTTCCCATCTTGGAGATCGCTCCTGCCTGGCCCAGTGAGCAAGGTAGCTGCTGCATAGGGGTGTCGGGTGTGGGGGTGTCAGGAGGCCCAGGGCTGGGAACAGCCAGACGAGGCTCCTGGGGCAGAGAGTGGGCTGGTCCTCCTCCCAGGGTTAATATGTAACCCAAAGCCTCAGCCTGGCCCCAGGCTAGGCCACAGTTGGGACTTTCTCCTGACCTGATTCCAAGACCACCCAGGAGTAGGGGGCCCGGGACCAGTAGAGGTCAAGGTCATTGGCAGTGGCTCATCACTGTTGCTGTGGTCTATAGACCCAATCCCTCTGCCTGTGTCTCCCCCACGAAACTGTCTTTCTCCTCCAAGCATAGTTTAGAAAATGTTTGCAAGTCCTGTCACTTGCTTTCTGGAGCCTGAGACCTAATGGAGTATCCAGCCCACCTGCCATGAGCGTGATGGAGGCCCAAAGCTGCTTAGAAATGGGCCTGAGTATGCACAGCCAGCAAGCGGGGCAGGAGAGGGAGGGGCTGGATGCAGGAGGGAGCACAAACGCATGCTCACCATCTCTGTGGGCCCCAGAGCGTCTGAGAACCATCTGAGTCGGTCTCAACCTCAGGGAGTACCCAGGCCATCATGCAGATCGAGGCTCAGAGAGGGTGGCAGCCTGCCTGAGGGCACACAGCGAGTCTGAGAGAATGAGAACCAGCCTCTAGTTTCCTGAACACCTCCATGGAGCACACTGTCTCCCGAATCTCTCTGTGTGGGGAAGGCCCACCAGTGGGACAGGGAACAGGGGGGTAGGGGTGGCAGAGGTGGCAGAGGCTTCCTGCTTCCTGGGCTTGAGCCCTGAGGCCTGAGGTGTTTGGGGATAGTGAGCACCGGAAAAGGGGAGTCCGATGGAGGTAGCTTTGCCATGGCCATGGCCATGGCCATGGCCCTGAGTGGGTCTTGCCTTCTTTGGTCCCAGCTACTGCACCTTTCAATGGAGCTCTCGCCTCCTGTGTCGTGAGTGAGGCTCCCATGCCCGAGAGGACATTTTGGAAGTGGGAGGAGGAAGATTATTTATACTAAGGTGGGGTGGGGGGGTGGGGCCACCTATGCAAGGATAGAAAGGGGACTCTGAATGCTCTATCTAGCAGCCTGAGGCTTTAGGACCCTCAGGTTCCTGCCTTAATCTCTGTCACTGACCACTGGGAGATACATTATTTCAATCTTCTCGAGCCTCAGTTTTTCCTCTTATAAAAGCGGGCATTTGTCCAGGCCCACCTTGGAGGTCCTCACCCACTCTGGCATTTGTGGCTCTGAGAGACTCCCCTGAGAGCTCCTGCAGGATTAGAGGGTGGTCCACGAGGCCAAGAGGCCCAGATTGGGGAGGGGTGGCTTTGTGGATGCTGCCCTGGCTGGTGCAAACCAGCTGCGTCAGTTCCCAAATGTGGGTATGCGGGGATGTGTCAGGCAGGAGGCTCCTCTGCTTTATATAACAAACCTGCAGATACAAGTCAGAACAGAGAATTCTCCCCAAGCACTGACGCATTCACTCCCACTCAAGCCCCAGCAAGAAAGAGAAAAAAAAAATCTGTGTGAAGCTGCTGAAGTCACCCCCAACTCCCGCCCCCCTGATTAGTGGTAGGGTGGATGGGGAAGGCAAAGGAGGATAAATTTAGGGTGTCAGATCTAAGCCCCTACCGAATTTAAATAAAAATCCCTCTATATCTCCATCGCTTAAGATTTTCTATGTCGAAAAGTACTTGTGTGCATCTTGTTGATTCATTCAACAAATATTTATTGGGCACTTACTATGTGCCAGGCACTGTTCTTGGTGCTGGGGCCATATCAGTGACTACAACTGCGAAAGATCCCAGCCTTCGGGGTGATGAACTTGGACTGAAGAAGACAGTACACAAAATCAGTAAACGATTTGATCTGTTAGAAGGGAAAAAAAATGCTGTGATTTAAAAAAATAGGGGGTAGGGGTGGTGGGGGAGGTGTTAAATTTGGGGCAAAGGGTTAGAGCTGCCTCCTTGCGGGTCACTGGGGCAGGCAGGGGAGGAGGCCACGTGGATCTCCAGGGCAGTGGTCCTCAGTGGGAGATTTGTCCCTCAGGGGACATCTGGCAATTTCTGGAGACATTTTTGGTGGTTGCAAATGTCCCACCGTTTTTGTTGGGGGCGGGGCAGGGCTCAGGCATCTAGTGGGTAGAAGCCAGGGCTGCTGCCAAACATCCCACACAGGACGGCCCCCACCACAGAGAACTATCTGGTCCAGAATGTCCGTGGTGTTTGCGGTTGAGGAAGCCCTGCTCGAAGGCTCCAGATATTTAAAAATCTTTATTTTCACAACCACCCTGTGAAACAGGTATTACCAGGTCCATTTTATAGGCAAGGCAATCAAGGCTCAGAAAGCCTAAGTGAATCACCCAGGACACACAAGCCCTTTCTCTATCACCTTCCCCAAAGACCCAGAACATTCCTATGTCTTCCTGTCCGTAAAGCCTCTTAGTAGTCCTTGAGGTCCAGCCTAAAGGGGACCCCATCCAAAAGCCTCCCCTGATCACTGGGCAGTTGGGAGTGGTCTCTCTCATGTAAACCCCAACGTGTTTGGGGTATGTTCTGGAAAAAGGTGTTTCTACCTGGTGTTTAAGGCAGCCTAGAAAAGTGGTGTCTAGGGGCTGGAAGGAAAACGAGATCTGCCACTTAGCAACTGTGCGACCTTGAGCAAGTCATTTAACTTCTCTGATTCTCAGCTTCTGCATCTGTAAAACAGGAATAACAATACTCCCTTTGCAAGGGTGTTGGAAATTAACAAGAGCAGATGTGCATATGCTAAGCACAGGCTCCAGCACATAGTGGGTGCTCAACTAAGAAAAGCTCTGATACTTTGTGGGTGTATCTTAGCTGCCCATCAAGCGAGGAGACTTCCAAGGGCAGAGACGGGCCTCGTTCATCCCACTATGCCTCACAGGACCTGGCAAGAGGGAGCCTCAGTATTTGTCAGTTAACTGAGTAAACACAGTAATCTGATAGCGTCTATTTGGATTGAAGTGTTCTTTATAAGCTCAGCACCGGCACTTGCAGGAGAGGCAGTTCAGGGTGAAGGCCAAGAGGGCCTGAGTCTTTATAGATACTCAAAAGTAATTCAAACAAGTGTTGGCTGAATCAGGACCTGGATGGGAGACAGATGGATGGATGGATGGTTGGATGGATGGATGGATGGATGGATGGATGAATGGATGGA